AGGACCTCACACTTGAGAGGCATGCTCTCTGCCACTGAATTGTATCCCCAGCCATAGTTATCCTAAGTTTGATTACATTTGTATTTGGCTAGTATTTTCTTGTTTATCAGTTCTTTCACTTTTGTTTTGAAGGGGGCAGGGTTTGGGACAAACCAGGAAGTGCTCAGTGATAACTCCTGGCATGCTCAGGAGACCATATTTTGTGCTTGGGATCAAACCAGAGTCAGCCATGAGCAAGGCAAGCACCTTGACCCCTCTACTATCTATTCAGTCCCTTGATTTATATATGTACATCAGTATACAAAAACAAGAGTGAGAATAGTTTTCTAAGAGGTACTGATATTCTAAATAGACACTTTAGATATACTTCTCAACATAAGAAATATTCAATATCATGTAAGTAATAAAAGCTGTAAATCCACACCAAAGGAGAGAGTTTGCTGTTGTTGTGTTTTGAGGTGAAATTTTTCCTCCAACAAGCACTAAGATGCAGGGAAAGTTCTTTCCTTCATTAAAGGTGAGATTCGGAGAGTCAAGTGAGGGTATGTGTGTGTGTGTGGCAGGGGGAGGGGGGGTTGTTTTTCTAACCTGCTAACACAGGAGTGCCCATCTCCTGGTGGTGCTCAGTGACAGTATGCAACACTCTGAGAATCAAACCATAGTTAGCTACCTTCAAGGCAAGTTCATTACCAACTGTGCTATCCTTCTAACCCTGATGCTGCTTTTATCACTTAACATTACTTCTAAGCATATTTTAGTATTGGCTCTTATTTGACATTGTAATAAAAGTGGTTTATGAATTCAAGCAGTAAAGGAAAGAAAATGAAATATATGTCTCCCTCACCCATTATCAATATTACTCTTCCCTTAGATTATCACTGTGTGTACAGATATATGTATTTGTGTAAGTATAATTTAGCATTTCTTTTCACTGATAGTTTCTTACTCTACATACTGTTCTATACCTCTTCGGTATGTGATAAGATCACATACCACTTTATATCAATGTATAGAGACTTGCCTAATTATTTTTATCAATTATCAATATCCCATTTCCTATTCTTAATACTTTATTAATGGATCATATTTTCACTTTTTATTGTTTTGAATTGTTGTATTTCTAAAGTTACACTATTATGATGTGCATCTTAGAAAGTTTTTGAAAGAGGGCCAGAGAGATAGTACAGGAGAAAGTGCACTTGCCTTGCACCCAGCCAAGCCAGATTCAATTCCTGGCATTGCCAAGAACCACCTGGAGTAATTCCTGAGTGAAAAGCCAAAAATAACCCCTAAGTGAACCATATCAAGTGCTCAGGGGACCATATAGAGGTCCTCATATGAGTCCATATGAAAGAATAATTCCTGATCTCCTAGTGGTGCTCAGGGTGTCATATGGGATGTTAGATCAAACCTAGGTCAGCTGTGTGCAAGGCAAAGACCCTAACTGCTGTACTATTACTCCAGCTGCATGGGAAGCCCTGAGTTTGATTCCCAGTACTACCTAGCCAGGAGTACTCCTGAGCATAGTAGCCAGGTGTGAGGTGTGGTCAAAAAGCAAGGAAAAAGAGATATCATGATTTAAATTATTTTAAGTCATATCAGAAGTGTACATCAACAAATACCTAACTGGTTTTACATCCAAGTTTGAAATCAGCATTTCTTTTGTTTTTGTCTGTATTCTGTGTATACTTTCACTTGAGTTCATCTCTTTATAAGTTATTGTCATTTAACAATTCAGTGTTTATCTTTATTTAGATTCTTAATTCTATTTTATGAATTACTGAAGAAGCATATAAAACACAGAATTTGAAGATAAGTTGGAAATATAAGAAACATACAAATCGTAAAATATTAATGTAAGGTCAAAGCCTGTCATAGTCCCTAAATTACATTAGGAAAATCCATATGAAATGTGATGATAGTCTACCATAGTGACTGACAGTAAGAGGTATTTTTATGTGATTTCAAAAAAAAGGTATTTTTATGTGATTCAACTTAATCTGGGATTCAAAGGAGAAATATGAGTTGGATTATTTTTTTAATAGGTAGAGTTATCTTAAGATTTAGAGGACCAGGGAGATAGTTTACAGTCTATAGTGCATGGTTTGCATACAGTAGGCCAGGTTTCATCTCTAGCCCTACGTGATCCTCTAGGAGCAGCCCTTGATTGCTCAGATGTAGCTCCCAAAAAGAAGAGGTCTAGAGTTTGAAATTAGTATGGTACTTGTAGATTTTTTTAAATTTTTATTTTGTTTTTATAAGGTTCACAGTAATTTATTACATTCAGTATTCCCGGATTGGAGCGATAGCACAGCAGGTAGGGCCGACCCAGTTTCGATTCTTCTGCCCCTCTCAGAGAGCCCAGCGAGCTGCCGACAGTATCTCGCCCGCACGGCAAAGCCTGGCAAGCTCCCCGTGACGTTTTCAATATGCCAAACACAGTAACAAGTGTCACAATGGAGACGTTACTGGGCCCACTCGAGCAAATCGATGAACAATGGGAGGACAGTGACAGTGACAGTATTCCCACCACCATTACACCTTCCCACCACACCCAGGTCTGCCCCAAAGACAGATCCTAAGTAATTTATTTTGTATTGCTTGTTATTATCCACTGAAAATAATCCAAAAAGTTTTCCTTAAAGGAGAGTGTGTGGAAAATTGTTGTATCTCATCTTGGAGCCATTAAGCCTCTTGTATGTTGTTACATGTTGTTACAGGTTGAGCCTTGTGTGAGATATATGTATATGTATGCTATGGGGCTGGAGCGATAGCACAGCAGGTAGGGCACTTGCCTTGCACACAACCAACCCAGGCCAACCCCGGTTCGATTCCTCCACCCCTCTCGGAGAGCCCGGCAAGCTACTGGGAGTATCGTGCGCGCACAGCAGAGCCTGGCAAGCTAACCATGATGTATTCAATATGCCAAAAACAGTAACAAGTCTCACAGTGGAGACGTTACTGGTGCCCACTCGAGCAAATTGATGAACAACAGGAGGACAGTGTTATATATACTATATATTTTTATATATGGCATATATATTTTATATATATATAAAATCAAGATCAGTTACCTTCTACTTTACACCCTATCAAATGTGGTGTGCTGCTCTTGGTACATTAGTGGCATAAAGTATGAGATGTAGCTCAGTTGCATACACTACAGGAATTCTAAAATTTTAAATAGGGTGATAGAGCTGGAGTTAAATTTTTAACTGGATGGCAATTTTGGAGTCTAGTAGCATCACTGCAGCGTGTTGCTCTCCTCCGAGATTTATTTGTGAGTGCTGCTTATAGAAAATTTGAGGAAGTACTTATGAATTGTGTAAATAGGTTAAACTGAATATAAAGTGTGATAGAAGGTATAGGAGACTATACCTTAGAATGGTTAGAATATTTGTGAACTGAATGTGTAAATGTATTTTTAACATTTTTAGAACTTTTTGTTTTTAATCAGTTTACTCTATTTCTTATTGAATCACATGAATTGCAAAGTTACAAAGTAATTCACGATTGACTTTCATACATACAGTGTTGCAACACAAATCACTTCATCAGTGTCTATTACACTCCACCAGTTTCCCTCCCATCCTCCATCCTTGATAGCAGGCACTTTTTCCTTTTTTTTTTTCTTTATTTCCCCCCCTTTTAGGCACTGTGATTTACAATACTGTTACTGATAAGGTATCATGCATATCCCTTTAGCTCCTTTCAGCATCCATTCCTTGTCCAGAGTGACCACTTCCCTCTGTCATTGTCATAGTGGTCCCTTCCCTGACCTCTCTGCCCTTATTCACTCTCCCCAGTAGCAAGCTTCCTACTAAGAACCAATTCTCCTACTCTTCGTTTCTATTGCCTTTTTTGCATTAGTTATTTCCCTATTATGTTTTTTATATCACGCATTTGTGTGAAATCACCCTGTGTCTGTCCCTTTCCCTCCAACTCATTTCACTCAGCATGATGCCCTCCAGATCCATCCATGTATCAGCAAATTTCATGACTTCATATTTTCTTACATCCAAGTAGTATTCTGTTGTATGTATATGTATATACCATAACTTCTTTTTCTAGTCATTTGTTCTTGGTCACTTGAGTTGTTTCCAGTTTTGGACTGTTGTAAGTAGTGCTGCACTGAACATAAGAGTGCAGTGATCTTTTCTGAATTGTGTTTAGTCAGACATTAGTGTGCATCTAAACAAACGATATTGCTTGCTCCTGATTCAATATATCTATATGGGTTTTAATAATTTAATAAACAATCTCATGGTCATGATGTCTACGAGTAGTATGGTGCTGTGCTTTGATAATCATGGATTTAGCCTCTGGGAAATTTATTTTAAAATTTATTAAAAATTTATGAAATTGTTTTTTAAGAATACATAGGATTGTGCACTGCTTATTAGAGGGAGTTGTGAGGGTTAGCATGTCTACTTTATAAAGTAACCCATGATGTCATCCCAAATTATCCATATAGGGGGTTTTTTCTGTTTTCACTTCTCTTTGCTCTAACACTTCCTCTAATCTTTATTCTGTGCCCACGATGAATATGAGGAGCACCTCCTTGTTCAACCATTTAGGCTCCAGTTATTCTACCCTTTTATTCTCCTTTACCAAGTTTGGGCTGGAGCAATAGCACATTGGGTAGGGCATTTGCCTTGCACATGGCCGACCCAGGTTCAATTCCTCTGTCCTTCTTGGAGAGCCCGGCAAGCTACCAAGAGTATCCCGCCTGCACAGCAGAGCCTGGTAAGATCCCCGTGGTGTATTCGATATGCCAAAAACGATAACAACAAGTCTCACAATAGAGACTTTACTGGTGTCCACTCGAGGAAATCGATGAACAACGGGAGGACAGTGCTACAGTGCTACCAAGTATTTGGGACCTTTTATAATGTCAGAGCAATAGTCATTTTAGGCATTTTAATCAGTCATTTTGTTTATATCTTGGCAGTTTCCTTTCTCCAAATAGAGGGAAATACTTTATTTTCTTTGTGTTTCAGAATGGAAAACAGAAAACCAAGAAAGTACTCTAGTGGAGAATACTTCTAAAGACACAAGGGAAGGAACCCAGTATATCAAATTGGAAAAACCAGATGACTATGATGACAGGTTAGAGAGGCAAGCAGCCGATACTTTCAGCAAAATTACCACCAGCGAAAGATATTTGAATTTTAAGTCTGACCATTCACAGGAAGATGATCCAACAGCAGAGTATTTTAGTAAATATAATATATATAGAAATAATTTTGAAAAGCATTCAGACCTACTTGTACAGTTTGGTGCCCTATCAGATAATAAAATTTCTGTGTATGATGAAGTTAGGGCAACCTTCAATCATGTCGCTTATGGTATTGTACATAGGAAAATACTTCCTGGAGAGAAGCCTTATAAATGTAATATATGTGGGAAAAAATTTAGGAGATACCCATCCCTAATGAAACACCAAAGTACCCATGCCAAAGAAAAATCTTACGAATGTGAAGAGTGTGGAAAAGAATTTAGGCACATATCATCCCTTATTGCACATCAGAGAATGCATACTGGAGAAAAACCATATGAATGTCACCAGTGTGGTAAAGCCTTCAGCCAGCGTGCACATCTTACTATACATCAGAGAATTCATACAGGAGAAAAACCCTATAAGTGTGATGACTGCGGGAAAGACTTTAGTCAGCGTGCACACCTCACTATACATCAAAGGACACATACTGGAGAGAAACCATATAAGTGCTTGGAATGCGGTAAAACTTTCAGCCACAGTTCATCACTGATTAATCACCAGAGAGTTCATACTGGAGAAAAACCTTATATATGCAATGAATGTGGGAAAACTTTCAGTCAAAGTACACACCTTCTTCAACATCAAAAAATACATACTGGAAAGAAACCATATAAATGCAATGAGTGTTGGAAAGTGTTTAGTCAAAGTACTTACCTTATTCGACATCAAAGAATTCATTCTGGAGAAAAGTGTTATAAATGTAATGAATGTGGAAAAGCCTTTGCTCATTCCTCAACTCTTATTCAGCATCAGACGACTCACACTGGAGAGAAATCCTACATATGTAATATATGTGGGAAGGCCTTCAGCCAGAGTGCAAACCTTACTCAGCATCATAGAACACACACTGGAGAGAAACCGTATAAGTGCAGTGTCTGTGGGAAAGCTTTCAGTCAGAGTGTACACCTTACTCAACATCAGAGAATTCATAATGGAGAAAAGCCCTTTAAATGCAATATATGTGGGAAAGCATATAGACAGGGTGCAAATCTTACTCAACATCAAAGGATTCATACGGGAGAGAAACCCTACAAATGTAATGAATGTGGGAAAGCTTTTATTTATTCCTCATCACTTAATCAACATCAGAGAACTCATACTGGAGAAAGGCCCTATAAATGTAATGAATGTGATAAAGATTTTAGCCAGAGAACATGCCTTATTCAACACCAGAGAATTCACACAGGAGAGAAACCCTATGCATGCCGTATATGTGGTAAAAGTTTCACCCAGAGTACAAACCTTATTCAGCATCAGCGTGTTCATACAGGTGCCAAAGCCCGTAACTAATCTATATGGGAGACTTTGTTTAGATCTTAAAAATTATTTAAATTTTATTTTGTACTCAAAATAATCAAGAAAAACCCGAAAGATGTGCAATATGTATTAGACAGCACTTGGCAGAAGTATCAGAATTAGTAATGTCAATATAAACTTTTAAGTTTAATGTGGAGGTTAAGAAGTTCATTCACTTCTTAATTCTATATCAATTTGCTCTATTCCAGAAAGAAACCTTATGAAAATAAGTATTCAAAATTCTGCAACTCATCAACTTAGTATATTTCATGTACTTCTTAATGAGGCCTTATAAGTGTGACTTAGGGAAGCTTCCATCTAGTAGAGATTTCACATTAGAAAATATGTCTGGTATATGAAAGGAAATGCTGATTTTGGGTCTTTAGTTCTTTTCAATTCTGAAGCCTTAAATAGAGAATTCTCTTCTTTTTTTCACTTTTCTTTTCCTATTATGCCATAACTGCCATGGGGAGCTGATAGGTTTACAAAAAAAGCAGTAGTATCAATGCTTTCTATATAACCACTGCTTAATTATGTGGTTTTTTCGATGTTTAAGTATTAAAGATTTAATGAGATTATCTCAAATCTCTTAATAATGTGTTATGGTAGGAATTAGTGTATATATAACCCTTAGACATGTATACAAATTTAGTTATGCAAAATTAAACATCCAGTATTAATATTTAATACATATTGGCCTTAGTTTCACTAAGTTTTGGTATCTGTGATCATTAAAATTATACAGTAAAGTTCCCTTTTATTTTTATTCTAAACTAACACCTTCTCATGACTTTTACTGTAGATGACCCATTTATTCCATTGAAATACGGTTCTTGGGTGTCTGCTGTTCTCAGGGTCCCAGACTTCCTAATTAGAGTCTTTTAGGGCTTATTTGCTGAAAGTCACAGGTGATTTCTTAAAAGAAAGCTTTCTAAAGTGAAAGAAGATAAGGACATGAATTTTGATATTGTGTCATTGAGCATTAAAAAATTAGAACCAGTCCAGTAAATGTTCCTCTATATACCACAAAAAGAAGTGAAATATAAAGGGGAGGTGGTAATGGAAAGTAGGTTTGTGTTCACAGCAAAAAGTGGATTGGGGGTGGGGGTGGGAAATTAGGTTAAGACTTCTTAGTGAGGAATAAGAATACATAGGTAGCTAGTCACATGTAATGGGGTTGGGCTTAATTACCTGAGGAAACTGACTGGATTTTAAAAAGCAAAATTCCACCTATTTATGAGAAACTAAAAATCAGATTTTAATGAAATAATTGGAATTGCTATTTCTTCATACTGAAAGTAAAATAGAGATTAATGAGGGGCTGGAGCGATAGCACAGCGGGTAGGGCGTTCGCCTTACAAGCGGCCAACATGGCCGACCCGAGTTCGATTCCTCCGCCCCTCTCGGAGAGCCCGGCAAGCTACCGAGAGTATTTGATATGCCAAACACAGTAACAACAAAGTCTCCAATGGAGACGTTACTGGGCCCGCTCGAGCAAATCGACGATCAACGAGAGGACCTTTACCTTTTACCTTTATTGAGAAGACCAGGGGGAAATTACTGGAAATAGTACTGATAGAGATACTGCAAATTGATGGAGTTTTTATTAAAAGTAATTACTAATGCAGTTATTATCTTAAAAATGATTGTGGGCTCTAAATTATAAAAAAGAAACATCAGCAGAAATAAAAATAGAAATATATGGGGGCTGGAGCCATATCTCAGTGGGTAGGGTGTTTGCCTTGCACACAACCGACCTGGGTTCGATTCCCAGCATCTCATACGGTTCCCCGCACACCACTAGGAGTAATTCCTGAGTGCAAGAGCCAGGAGTAATAGCTGTGCATCGCAAGGTGTGACCCCCCCAAATATATATATATATACATATATATACATATATATAAACTATCCATGGCATTCCACTGTCAGGATATGCTAAATTGAAATTTCATCTTGCTCTTGTTTCTTCAGTGCCTTGCATAGTATAATCACTATATATGATTAATAAGTAGATTGGCTTGAGTAACAAAGTAGAATTAGCTGAAATTGTATGAATTAGTATGAAATAGGTATGAAATTAGTATAAAATTGGTAGGATTTCAAATACTTGTGATTATTTGCAAAATAACATTTAAATATTGGTTATTTACTGAGTAATAATAGCACTGTAGCACTGTCCTCCCGTTCATCAATTTGCTCGAGTGGCCCAGTAACGTCTCCATTGTGAGACTTCAAGTAATAATAACTACTTGAAAATTAATTAGTATCCCCAGATTTTAAAAATAGGGATATTCCTAAAGAAATTGTGAGGCATTTTTGCACAGGAAGCTTACCTGAACAAGATGAGGAGAATTTGGTATGAATACTAGTGTCATCAATACCAGTTTAACCATTATGGACCACACAACTTAAACATTACTGTTGTGTAAACATCCTACAAACAGGTAAGGAAGGAAAGACTTAGAGTGATAGCATTTTTAAGACTCAAGAATTTTCTTCAAGAAGTTGTTGCTTCCCCATGTCCTAACATTAGTTAACCTTGATATCATAGAATCATACTTTACAAAGCAGATTGTCTCCGGTATTAAACTTAAACTCATGCTTTTTTAAAAAAAAATATGTAAGATGCAATTTCTATAATGCTATTTCATACCTTACACAACACTTTTCTCTGGAATGCATGTGTGGAGTATTAAATCCATGCCACATCTTTTGCATTAATTTTTATTTCCTGCCTTTGTTTATGTAAATACTGTTTATAAATTTTTCCACAGATACACTGAGGCAACTGATTTCCTCATAATATAATAATAATAGAGAATCCTAGATCTTGGTGTTTTTTCCCTCTTTTATAATTCTCCAGTCCACGTTTAAGATTTTTTTAGCAAAAGGTATCTGCCAGCTGCATTTAAAAATTAACATTTCATTGTGTTTTTCATCAAATATTGGAAACACCTGACATTTCACACCTATATACTTGTCAGGCATTACATAAAAATGAGGGTAATTGAGCCTAGAGTGCTAGTGCAGCCACTGCTTCTCTTGGCTTGCCTTCCACACTGCTGACCCTGCTTCAGTCCCCAGCATCCCATATGATCCCCCAAGCACCTCCAGGAGTGGCCCCTGAGCACAGAGCCAGGAGTAATTCCAGAACACCACCAATTGTAGCCTCCCCCCAAAATAAGGACAGTTTTTTCTCATATATCCCCCAATACTAAGTGTCAAGCTTAAGCACCAGACGTTGTGTATCAGGCCATCAGCAGTTTTTACAAAGGAAGGGAACTTCTGGTTAATTTAGCAAGCAGATTAAGTAGAAAGCAGAATAATTAAAGTTATGATACTACTATGTACATCTTAACATATATAACTAATCACATTCTTACATTTCTTAAAAGACAGGTTTCTGATTATGAATTCTAGGGGTTTCTTGAAATCTAGGTTTTTGGGCATTGCTGTGTAGCTAATATTTCATTTGGCCCTTAAAACTTTAAGGCTCTTCATCCTTCAATATTTCATCCTTCAGTTATAACTTCCGATAGTAGTTTACTTGCATATGCCTGTATATGATCTCTTCTCTTTCAGTTAGTCTCATATTAGTCCTTTGCACACTATAGCCATGTAGTGCAAATATGTGCACTATGGTGGTATGTATAAATACGTGTGTAAATTTGTAAGCAGCAGAGTTCTCTATATAGATGGAAAAACAGACCCGTGATGCTAAAGTAGCTTGACTGAGGTCTCATAGTCTAAGAATTGTACCCCTGTCTTCAACAGTTAACTTAGTTCTTCCTGTAAAGTAATGTTAAGTGAAAATTCAGAGAATATTATATACCTACAAATTTATAAAATTATTTCCAGGAGAATAGAGCATTTAAAATGCTTTTTTATTCCCTCATGTTTAGTTTTCAGATTCAAATCTATAGATGAAAATAGCCCCACAAAGGGTACCCTCTTTAGTCTCTGTCCCCCATCTTTATATCTCTTAAGTTTCAGACCCATCTAGTCAGAGACCCTTTGGAACTACCTCACAAGTGTCTTAATATCCCTTTGTTATCTGGAAAAAGAATGCAGAGCTTGGGGACCGTCTGGATCTGGGTTCACCTTCCTTGAAGGAAATAATTCAATCAAGAAACTCAGTTATGGAAAGAAAATTCATTTATTGCAAGTAAAACTTTTCTCTATTTCAGGGTACAGAGCAGGTGTCCCAAAGAGAAATGGGTGTCCTGAGGAAATTTGGGGACCAGTCATATTCCAACTTTCTTCCTGTGCTTAACAATCTTAGTACCTTCTTCCATCAACATGCTCCACTCTAGGGGAGTTTTCTTCCAACTTTGACCTCAGCAATCTGGTAAATGGACTGTAAGGCATGAGCCTTGATGATAATGAGATGAGCCAACTCAAATGGTGGTCAGCTATAATCTTTGCAGAGTCCCAAATCTGTGGCCACAGTGAGAAGCTAGGCTAAGTATTTTGCACCAGGTTGTTTTTACTGTACCAGTCTTTTAAGTTAGAAGCACACAAGCTGTTTTGTTTTATTTTGTTTTAGTGTTTGTTTTAATCCAAGTCAGGTGCAGAACTAAGTCATTTCCTATCTTTATTTTTATTGCAAAAGCTCTTATATACATTTTGAGGGGTATTTTATCAAGTTTTTTTCATCTTGCAGGTGAGAAAACTGAGGCACAGAACTACAGATCTTGGCAGAAGCCAGAGCTCATGTTGGCAGGATAATCTCTAAGTAGAACAATCATGGGGCATGAGCAGGCAGCCTTGGCATTTCTCCAATACAACTGCTCTGCCTCTGCACTCAGGACCCCGCTCCAGTTCAGCTTCCTAAGAGCCACATGCCAGCTGAAGCTGTGGAGCTCCCAGCCACAGGCTGGCATCATTTGTGATTAGCCCTCTATGTGGAGGAGGCTGGGAAGAACTGTGAAGGCCGATAGATAAAGCAGTGTGTATCCAAGAGGAACAGGAGAGCATTGAGAGCGAAACACTTTTTTTCTCTCTGGTCTCCAGAAATAATCACATACA